GAAAGGCATCTATTTTAGTCCAGTACTGTCTCTTCTGATAATAACTAAATACTTGTCCTCTATATTTTTTAAAATTTTGAATCAGTTGGAAATTATCTATTGCTTAGAAAAAACTTTTACTAACCAAATCATAGGTTGTTGGACCGGCAAACGCAATTAGTGTCAGATCATTATCACATTCAATGGGTAGATTTGATGCACCTTGTTGAATCATATTTAAAAGTGGTTTAAATGTTGTTTCATCAACTGGTTTTGAAATGGTTTTTTCCATCGTTATTTTTCGACTATAAATCGGAATATAATAAGTAGCTAAAATAGATCAAACTTAGATAAAGAAAAATAAATACAAATAGTAAATTCTACATTCGAACAATTGAAGAATCTTTTTTTCTTTTGATTTATCTTTTGCTCGACTGCAAACAATCTAAATAAATAATTTAATTTAATTTTTTACTTTACATAAATCAAAAAACTTACATCACGTGCTGTTAAGCCTGCTTTATTCACTGCCTCTCTGCTACAACTTGGTTCATCAAGTAAAGCACATACGGCATCGTAATGTCCAAATTTCGATGCAAGATGAAGTGGGCTTTCATTTTGCTATTTATTTTAAAAGGAAAAATAGGCAAAATATTAAAAATGAAATCAAAAAAATGACCTTTTCAGATTAGGTTACGTATTTAGAATAGAGAAATCGAATATACTATACTGTAGAAAAAGAAGAAGAGCGTTGAACGGTATATGGTTAATTTTATTTTCGCAAAACTTTGAAGAAAGCACAGTCAATTTGCTTTGAGAAATCTTAACTGATTTTCCTGTTTTAAAACTGTATTACAATATTTTAGACTATCGAAAGTTGATTCTCGTCCGAACAAACATGATAGTCGGAATCAGCATAACAAACTGTATTAAATACTTTATATTTTAAGCAAATATTTTTCCGCCGAGATTCGCCACGTACGGTCTGTCAATCATTTTTTCTGAATTGAGCCCTATGACTCTTACAGCATGTTAATTTCGTATCAGAATAGACTGTTGATAATCAAAAACTTTGGAATACAGCATCAAAAGAGAAAAACTATCATAAAAATTGGCGAAGATTTCTCAGTGCGAAGCTCTTTCGGGTATTATACATTCATTTGTGGAGAATTTCTAAATAGTATGTTTTATAGTGTTATATCACGGATAATTTCTGATAAAATTTGATATCTGGTCACATCTTCGATGGTTAACAGTATTTCAGATAGGAAGACTGATCATCAGTGAAAAACGGTGGTACATCATTTCACAATTGTATTTATGCCTATCGAAGATGGTAAGTATATAAGTTTGTGGCTCGTGAAAAACTCTAAAAACCTGTATATAAGAAACATTTTTTACACAACACTTTTGACTGATATCAAGAAGTATGCTTTGGGTACACAGTCACCTATCAGTAAACTGATTCTAGATCTTTCGAAGTCATATGCAAATAAAATTTACTGTGTACCACTCCATGCGTCTACATTTTTCTATAACATGGTATATTTAATTTCTCAATTTTAAATAGTTCACCTCATCTGACAGAGTTCTTTCTTTTCTTTTTTCTTACCATTTTATCTGGTGTATTTAAATACATATCAAGAATAAATTTAATACGTTGTTGTGTTTGTTCTTCAGTATCATTAATATACAGACGACGAATAAAATGAACATTTTTTATTGTTTTAATTAATATACGAATTATTGAAGATTGACCAGATAATGCAGCAACATGCATACTATTATATCGAACTGAAATCTAAAGATTACAATTCGATTCATTTCAACTAGAGAAAAAAAAGAAATTACTTTGACAATTGTTGGTGAATCACCACTGCTTATTAAATAACGAGGATTCGACCAAATTAATCGCTCAAATTCATTTTCATCACCTTTTTCAACAATATTATAAAGTTTTGTTAGTTCAGATGTTGGTACATCACTATACGGTAATTTTTCTGCATCATTATTCATTGGTCTTGTTATTTGTTCAATGGACATATTAACATCATCATTACTTGTTGTATTATTTCGTTTTTGTTCAATAAAATTTTCTGCATCTTGACGATTAGCAAAAATTTTCACTCGACTATTATGTTTACTATATTTTTTACAAAGAGTAAAGGCACTTTTCATATCATCAAAGATAAATTGATTTTCTAAATAAAAACTTTAATTCAGAAAGAGGAAAAAAGAATTATTGATTTCTTTCTACCTGTCGTTTCAACATTCGATGGAATCCATACAGCATAATAATGTGAAATTGTTTTTGTAGTATTTTCATTAATTTGTTCATTTTTTTCATGTGATTCATCGTCATTTAAACAATCAAAAAATTGATCATCTTCATCAGGTATCAAACGCTCCTTGTGTCGAGAAAGTAAATTACCCATGAAGAATATTACCAAATCACATTTGATGAAAAAGTAAAAGTAGAAAAGAAAATATCTAGACGTAAAGGTACGATGTAAAAATAATGAATCATTTTAGATTTTTTTTTTGTGTCTGTCTGTCTACTGATTGACAAACGAAAAAGTAATATACTTAATCCGATAGATATCGCTCTTCAGCGAATGATTTTTTTTTAATGTCCTGGCCTTTCGAAAAGATCCTTCTTTTAATGTTAATATAAACGCTTGAAATTATTTTATTAACATAATTTTACTTTTAAAAATTCATCTTTATTAAAAACGAAGTTTTTTACGAAGAAAAAAAAAAGAAAAAGGAAATCATTTTTGCATGTGTCGAAATTCAATAATAAATATGCAAATATTGATGAAGGACGGTTTCTAACTGATCTCGATCGGTTTTTAGACGAAAGCTACTGAATTGGTAAGTATTACTCATTCTGATTCCGAACATGATCATGAATAATTTTCTTAGCTCTTCATACGTGTACTTTTTAGAAAACTGGTGTTTTTAGACTAGCAAACATTTTAGATCCACTTGAATTACCGAGCACATCGAGTTTTTTTTATAAAATGATAAGCTTTTCTGTTTTCTGAAAAAAAATGAATTTTAAGTAAAATAATTTTATGTTGAAGACTTTTACATTAACATATTAATAATCGGTGGCGCATGATGCATGGAATAAAAAAGTTTTTCTCTTCCTAAGATACTTCTGAACGCATTAGACATTTCATTTTAAGTTCATGCGATCGAGAATTTCCTGTCTACGAAACTATTGTCTTTGTGTTTCACATAACATCTTCCTTTTGTCAGTACAAATTTTAAATGATGAATCGTTCCTCAATCATCGGCTAATTTCTACATCTTCTGATAAATGGTTCAAAATTTTAGAGAAACTATATGCACGAAAAAAATTTAACGTAAAAAAGTCAACATTTTTGAATATTAAACAGTATGTTTTGTAGACAATTCTTGAGGCTACAAAATCTACCGTCCAAAATGTTTTCTGGATATATCTAGATTGAAAAAACAGTCGATTTACTTTGCATTGGTATCTTGACGGAGTACATATATACAGAAGATAAAAAATGTTCTTATAAGTGAATGAGACGTTCAAAACCAATTCTATTCAGAACAAGTTATTCTTCAAAATCTTTCAATGATAGTAAGACAAAAGCTTTTGTTTCAGGACTTCCTAGGATTTCTAGAAAATTGGTTTTCAAGAGGATTTTTTTCTCAGTCCGATCTCACTGAAAGTTTCAACATAGCTGTAACTCATGATCAACCTTGAGAAACTGGTCTAGTAGCGCTACCGCCATAATGGGTGTACGATGTTCGCTGTACTACTCCATCACTTCAGTTGTGTCCATGTGATATAGAACATGAGCTGACATACGGGACAGGAAATATGGAGAAGAAAGAAGTGAGAAGAGAAGAAAGAGCGAACAGGAAACTACTATCGGTCATGAGGTCAGAATACCTAATCGCATAGTGGTCGAATGCTCTCTTATCAGTGAACTAGTAGATGATATACATAGGTCGTGACCTTATCATCGACACATCCTCCTACTCAGATTAGACACACTCCTGAGCTTCTGTACAATCAGAAAGAAGCAGGAAAGTTCTAGAGCAAAAGGACACGGAAAAAAACGAAAGAAGAAAAATAAATACATATTAACTTCATCAAATGCACGACATTTGGCACCGAAAAAGTGGTATGGGTTGTGATGATGTCCATATTCATATGTGTTTTCAGAAAACCTACTCACCCACATATACATTTCCATCAACACATCCACCACACCGATCCACATTCATCCAGACCCACAGACTTCACCCACATTCCATACCCACATCTAAACTCACACTATTCACACATCGCTCACTGGAAAGTGAAACCAATCTAACAGAAACGAGTGCTACGTCGATTTTTTTCCAGCATCTCGTTGTATCATGCTCGCATGATTGTTTTGTTTTTTTGAGTAAATCGAAAGACACAACAGTAACTATTAGAAAACACCGTCAACGAATTTAATCGTCATCGTCATGGAACTTTGATCGATGCATGATTCATCCAATAACGGAATATTTTCATGCTTCCACTCCTCAATCAGAACACCATTGATCATTACTGAGACTCTTTTGGTATACCTGTTTTTAGATGCACAAAAAATATTATATTCAAAAATAAGCCAAATAGAAAGGAAACATTTTTTTGTTCAAAATATTTTTTGATTCTTATGTGTCCAAACAGACCGTCAACATCTTCAAAGAAATTAATTTAAATAACACATCTGTTGAAAAGTTCTCCACTACTAGCTTAAGTGAGGTAAACTCGAGAATGAAGAAACACCCTTGGAAATTATCAGAGTTCTCTGTGGTCATGTAAAGTGACATGAAGACTCCAATATTACAGTTTCGATTTAGAAAAACCTATAAATAAATTCGACTATGCGTGTGATTACGGAAACTCACAATCACAATGGTTATATGAGGGCTTTTTATAGATATCATGTTGTAACAATATATTTTCAGATTTTATAATAGATTTGTCATCGAAAAAAGTCATTTTATGTTCTCTTATCCTTATCAATGAGTAGACCTCGATAGGCCAATGCGATAAGGCGTGAAAGACTAAATTCTAACATTGCATCAGATTCGAGTTCTTCGGCTGCATGAATGGCATGTACTTGTGAAGTAATTGGTTTCAGACAAGACAGAGTGCCTGAAATGATCACACGTGCATTTTCTATGATATTTGTATGGGCGAATAATACATTCGATTCAAATGTTGAGCAACATGTTTGTGTTAGTCGATCAAAGGCATTCGTGGTAGGAAGATTAGCATTTGTTGCCAGACAACCATCACTATTTAAAATACCACTTAAATTTAAAAAAAATTGCGCAGTATTCATATGAGTAGGCATTGCTTCTTCAACAAATGCATCAATAAAAATGATATCATATCGATGAGCTGTTTCGCTCACAAATCGAAAACCATCATCTGCTGTGACCTATTCGTATAGAAAAGAAAAAAGACTCAAGTGTTAATTTGATATTGAACAACAATAGAATGAGGAAACAAACATGTAGGCAGCCACTTGCTATCATCTCGGCAAGATCGAAAAATTCAGAAGCTAATTCAATCACTGTCTCGTCTATTTCGACCACATGAATCAGAATTGATGGAAAATAATGCCGAATAAGCCTAGGCAAGATAGCACCACCGAGACCGATGATAAGTACATGTTTTGCTTTTGGTTTGCATATAAATGGGACAAAAAATAATTTTATATAAATATCACACGGTCGAAATGGATGCCGCAAGTTGATACCCGACTGCCAGCCTAACCATCCATTCTCACCGAAATAGAGAACAAGAATATCATCATTAAATCGTCCAACAGTTACATTGTACGGACTCAACGACGATTGACGTTCAGCGAAAATGAATTGTGGAGGTTCAGAGCCGTGATGAACAGTAATAAGTTTTGTTGGCGAGCCAGACCAGTCAGTGTGTTCTGAGAATCTATCATGAGGCAATGCAAGTGAACAGGGTGCCAGACGATTATGACCGAGGAATGTCACGCCGGGCAGTACTATTGACATTGGTTTGAGAATACAACTCGGACCAATGGTGACAGGTCGAAGTTTGAGATAACGCTGTTCAAAGGTGTGACACTATTCAAATAGCAAAAAATCTGTTCTATGACATTGTTCAAGTACATGTAATTGATAGCATACTTGTATTTGAGATGTGGACGACAGACGTGAATGATTTCCGATAGTAATCAAATGGACGTCGTACACCGTGTTCATATCATCGATAATGACATCAACACCGATTTGTGTCCCAAATCGTCGAAGAACCAAAACGAGCCATTGTGTACCACCTAACAGACAGCCTACCCATTGGGTGTATTGAATAAACAGTGTCATTGCTAATGTAGTCTGCCAATCTTTCTTCGCCTCTTCCAGTGATTGACCACGTCGGATCTCTCCAAACTTGTCATCCATTAGATGTGTATAGGCAACATGTGCAATAAATGTGTATATAATTAAAAAGATAGGTGTCAATAGTAGAAACAAATTGAGGCTAGAAGTTATCTTCAGGCTCAAAATGACTGATGCGGCAAGCAGACAAATATTGACAAAGTCCATAAGCATACGTTGAAAGTCGTCAATGATCGCTCGTTTCGTTGATTGGGTAGGTTTTTCTGCTGTGTGCGATCGATCAGCGTCTGGCAAAACGAAAGACATGGCACGAGCAGGAATTCCAAGAAGAATATCACCTAAATCGAAAAATTCAACCAACAGAATAAATTTGCTCATCTATTCGTCAAAGAAATAATCAACAACAAAACAATGAATTTCACTTGCCTTCCTTCGCATTATTGGTCATCAAATCAACTCGTGTCAAACAACCCACAACAACATCTGCCAAGAGGCGCACCCCTGATCTAAGGACGCAATTATTACCAAGAAACGATCGACAACCAATCCGAATTTGACCAGTAACAATGCATTGACCATCTGTTGTGACATCATATGGAATAAAGCAAACGTCAGATGCGATCGTCACACCATGTTCGATTACCAGCAGATTTGGTGGCACCATCAAAAGTGGAACAAAATGTGCGATCTCAATATCGTTGGGTTCTATAGAGGCACCGAGCCACTGAAGAATGAATGGAGTCCAAGAATTAAATTCGTCAAAAGTAGTTGATAGACAAGGAGCAAATGAACTAGTAACTAAGTGACGCAACCAAAATTGACAAAGAAACTGCCAGGAGTTGATTGAATGGGCGAACTTTTCTTGAATATGACCAACAATAAATCGAAGGATAAGAAGGCTTACGATTGTACCGAGAACAGACCAGATAAACCAACAGATTGGCAAACTCAAACACAGAGGTAGCCAATATGCAGCAGACCAACTTAACTTAACAATGAATGCATGCATACTAGCTATTGCAAAGACAGCGACAAGCTGAAAGAAAGATTGATCAAGACTTAATGTGCACACTGACGATTCTCCTTCGTGTATTCCTAAAACTCGACCTGTGATAGCTGTCAATGGTTCACTAAGAACGTGATCATGTATATCAACTCGATCATGAAGAACGCATCGGGTTCCGATGGAACAGTGAGATCCGATACGAATCTCATGTAAAGCGTAAGTACGATCATGATATGTGAGAGAAGAAAGAATGACTTCGGTGGCAATATAAGTGTTATCTCCGACTTCGAGGAGCCAAGGTGCATCTATTTGGCTGGAATAAATATGTGTTCCGTTGCCGATACACGCGCCACATAGGCGAAGATAAGTATTGTAAAATGGAGTGCCTAGCAGATGACCAAGCCAATATGTATTGAGTGACCATTGTCGTCTTAGAAACCATAGACGATAGTACCGCCATGAATATAGGGTGTCTTGACCTCGTCGAAAAGGGCCACCCAACAGTGTTATAAATATAGGATATTGCAGTAAGTGTATCAATGGGACAAACAGTACTTGGACGAGAAGAAAATCTAATCTGGCAGCAACAAAGATTGGCCACAACCATTGCCACGTGAGTAGAAAAATGCCAATTGTTTCGATAAGCCACGATGATCGAAGTCGAATAGAAAAGTCAAGATCCTCTTCTTGTTTCTGTCGATCAGGCTCGACATTGGAAAGAATTGATTCTAAAACAGCAGCTAGTTCTCGCACAGATGGATTCCCAAATAGAAGAGCAATATCCATTCTTTCAAACACTTCTTGACGAATAATATTAAGCGCACGCATTGCGCCCAATGATGTACCACCTAATTGACCAAATGTGGTTTCTACATCGGGTATCGACTTCAAATGAAATGCTCGAAAAAAAATGTCTTGTAGTTTTCTTTCAAGTGATGACAAAACCTTCGTCGTTTGATGCTCATTAACCAAATCTACGGCCTGTGTTGCAATTGTTCCTAATGCATTTCGATCGATTTTACCATTGGCATTGAGTGGTAGCTTTGGAACAAATAACCATTTCGATGGAATCATGTACGAAGATAAATGATTCCGACAAGCAAGGTTAATTTCATTTTCAAGCTGTTTTTTTTCGTAGTGTTCTTTCACTTGAATATAAGCAACCAAGTAGTTATCGTCTTCGAGGTTTTCCTTCACTACAACGCAATTAATAATGCTCGGTGATGATTCAATGATCACTAATTCAATCGCAGATAATTCAATGCGTTGTCCTCGTATTTTCACTTGAAAATCTCGTCGACCAATAAA